TTTAATTTTCCGGGATAAAAAGTATCTAAGATGTTGCCCAGGGATATAAGGTGCATGCAAAATTTCATTTAAATCGGTCCAATAGTTTCGGAGATTAGCCCGTACAAACAGACAAACAGACAGAGAAACAAAAAAATTGAAAAAAATCTGGATTTGTTCTTTTTGTCTTCTTACATCCCCTGACTCGGTTTTTAGCATTGTTTTGCTATGTACAGACGTTCGACTTTTACAGTTTTATTATAGTATAGATATGTTGGGACATTAACACACAGCACCATCTAGTCCCAAATATTTCTTTTTAAAATATACGATAGAAAACAAACAATAAAATGTACTCACAACACCACACATACAATACTATGCTAATACACTGCCACTAAGCCAAAAGTACCTCTTTATATTTTTAAAAAGCCTGTTAAAATTTCAAAAGGACTTGAAAAACCTAAAACAATGAGAATACACGTAGCGTTTCAAACAAATCTGATTATACAAGCTTTCCAAATTAATATAGAGATGCGAATGTTTTGGTACGTGGTATAACGTGGGTAATGCATATGAAAATATCTGTTCATATGATGAAATATCTTTTAAAATAAGGAAGCTGGAAAAATTGCGTTTTTTTTGTTTCTCTATACTTAATAATAAATCTTCAGTAATATTTTGAGCAAGTTTGTCTGTGAGAGGCTAGCTGTGGAACTGTGGTTTTGTCTCTAAAACTTCTTCTATAAATGATATAATGATGAAAAAAGTACGAGATAAAAAATGTCCTCACCGAACGAGCGCTCATTTGAGCGCGCTTATAATATTTTTTTTGTGAAAACAACTTTAAGCATTGCATTTAAGGTTCAATTTACATTGTTTTATATTTATTTCAACTATAATAATTACTTAAACACAATAGATGACAGTTTTAAGAGAACTTTTGCATGGGATTGTGTATCTAGTTCTTTTATGATCAATGTGAGTGATAAAAGGTCTCTTTACTATTAAAGAACACCAGGAGCAAATACTGACCTCCTGTCACCTCTCATGTATTTTCTTTATCAATAAAAAATCTGCCTCAAGCAAAACATTGCAACTGACAAAAACGATCATCTATACATATAATAAAATCCTAAGTAGAATCTGTACATTACATATTTTTTGATAATTATTGAAAGTCATTATTATCGATACAGAGGCCAACACTATAGTTTTTAGAGTTTTTGTCTGTTTGTCTCTCTGTCTGCTTGTCTGTCTGTCTGGGAACGCATCACATGAAAACCACTGGACATATTTTGATGAAATTTGGAATGATGATAGCTGGTTACCGGGTCAACATATAGAATACTTTTTACTGCGGGAAAATATCTCATATCTGAGAAATCTATACTAAACGTTAAGGGAACGAAGATGAGCCGCTAGTAATTATATAAGATATGTTAAAAATAACACTTTTGATTTGAAATTTCAACACGTAAAATTGGGAATAAAATATTTTTACTATAAATATTTTACGTACTCGCCCGAGAACATCGAGCCTGGTAAATCCATTGTACAGTTTTGTTCAATTTTTGCTAAAATTGTAGTCTATTGGGTCTGTCGAGTAGGCTTTATTTCGTGTTAGAATTACGCTCGATTTTATTTCATCAAGTTTTGTAATATATAGAGTAAAAATTCGGTGATTTTAATTGGCTATGTCAGTTCAACCTATTAGATTCAGGTTTCATTTGTTATATTATATGTTTTTGCAGGTATGCAAAGAAAAAATGTTACAGTAAATTGAAGTTGTGCTTTGAAATTACTATCAAAGTAATTTTATTGATTTCAATATCAAGTAATCTATATACATATATATATATATATATATATATATATATACTAGCGGCTCACCCTCGCTTCGCTCGGGTTCACCTCTAGAAAAGCACAAACAGATCTATCCCACGGGAACCGTTCATTTTTACGGGATAAAAATAAGTAACCTGTTGTTTGACCTGCAATATAAGGTATCAGCATGCCAAATTTTACTAAATTAGGTGCATAAGTTGTTGTGTACTGAGCTGTATAAGTTACTATAAATTTTTAACTATCCCACGGGAACTCTTTAATTTTCAGGAATGAAAAGTATCGAATTTCATTTAAATAGGTTCAATAGTATCGGAGATTAGCCCGTACGAACAGACAAACAGACAGAGAAACAAAAAAATTGAAAAAATCTGGATTTGTTCTATTTCTTTCCTTACGGGATGTAAGAAGAGAACTGACTCGTTTTTTAGCAATTTTTTCTACCATCTATGTACAGACATTCGACCTCTACAGTTTTATTATTCATATATTATGTACCTATACTCAGATATAATAAATAACGTATAATAAAACAGAAATATATAATAATGAAAATAGTTATAGCGAGTGTACCTTAGGAGATAGACATATACTATGTAAAACTTTTCTATAGACCTTTTTAAGACTTACAATTTCCTTGTACAATGTTTTGATCTATCTCTTAAGGTTGAGCCAACGTTAGCCGTATAAATTTCTAAGGACAATTCGATAGAACCAGTTATTGTATTTTCCCGTGGGAAAGAAAGATTTTCTTTAAGTAAAACGTATCTAGGCAGTGGTATCCCAATGGTAACGCGCTCGCTTGGGAAACCGAGTGAAGCAAGTTCAAATCCCGGGTCTAGCACCTCTGATATTGGCCAGCGTGGTGGACTATGGCCTGATCCACCTCGTACTGAAGGGAGGCCCGTGCGTGTGTTAAAAAGGGCTGAATACAACATACATACATACATACATACAAAAGGTACCCTAAATGTTGACTCGAGTAATAAGTTATCACTTCACCAAATTTCGTTGAAATTGGTACATTACTTTTCGCGTGAAACGCGCACACAAAAACAGACAAACAGACATACAGGCAAATAGACAAACAGACATTTTTTTTAATAACTATTGTTTTGGGGTCTATGTTGTGTACATAATACGTTACAAATAAACAAAAACATCTATCCCACGGGAAAAGTACATTTTTCCGGGATAAAAAGTTACCTATTTATTATTCTGATGTATGAACTATATTATTGTAAAGTTTCATCAAAATCCAATCAGTGGTTTTTGTGTACTAAGCTGTAGAAGTTACTATAGTTTTTTGACTATCCCACGGAAACTCTTTAATTTTCCGGGATGAAAAGTAGCTGATTTGTTTTTGGCATGTATGAACTATATTATTGTAAAGTTTCATTAAAATCCAATCAGTAGTTTTTGTGTACTAAGATGTATAAGTTGTTATATTTTTTTAACTATCCCACGGGAACCCTTTAATCTTCCAGGATAAAAAGTATCTAAGATGTTGCCCGGGCATATAAGGTACCACCATGCAAAATTTCATTTAAATAGGTCCAATAGATCCGGAGATTAGCCCGTACAAAGAGAAAAACAGATAAACAGCTCGCTCGGGTTCGTCTATACATACGAATATGTTGTATTATCTCTTTAACCATTTGTGCAAATTATATGCAGTAAAAGGGAAAAGTCTTTTATTTTAAACATTTTAGACGATAAAATAACTTATTTTGATAAGAATTCAGAATTGTTGATAATATGACCAATGGACATGACCTACCGATTTAAATTATTTTTTTAATATAAAAAACTACTTTTTGTGACTTAAATATAAAAGTTAGACATATGCTGTCGCTGACTTTTTTGTAGGCATTATTAAGCTCTACAACTTTTCTCTAGAACATAATCATATATCTCTCATCGTTAAGGCAGCGTTCGTAAGAAACGTTTTCGTTCGACCGTTTTTTCTCCGACTTACTTTGCAAATACGACTACCACGAAAAAACCTTTTCATTTTTCGGGTTAATATATAGCCTATGACACTCAGAAAGAACGTGGCTTTCTATTGGTAAAAGAATTTTGAAAATCGGTTCAGTAGATCCAGAGATTACCCCCTACAACGTCACAAACTCACAAACTCACAAGATCACAAACTTTACCTCTTTATAATATTAGTATATATATATATATATATATATATATATATATATATATATATATATATATATATATATATATGTATATATATAAATCAATTGACGTTCGTAAGTCTCGCTAAAACTCAAAAACGGCTGGACTGATTTAAATAATTCTTTTTTTGTTTCGTTGGGGGTGTGTTAGGTATGGTTTAAGTATAAAAAAAAGAAAAACTCAAAAAACTACTGGAAAATCGAAAAGTTCAGAACTGCTTATTTTGTACCTATGTATGTATATATAATATATCTATTCTATACTAACCGTTAAATTGTATCTAGAAATGAACACGAGCGAAGTCAGGTTGAGTCGCTAGTTAAATAAATAAAGATTCAAACACCTTATGAGTTGAATTTTTTTAAGTCAAATGTGGGACTCAGTCAAAAGCCAGTACTACCCACTAAAACCTGCAGTATTTTATAACCTAGTATAAACTACACTAGATTCAACAGAACTTCTTGACATTAAATGCAAAAAGCACACAAAAATTTTAGCATTGTACCTTTAAACACCTATATTCTATATAATATAGTATATATTGTATTGTGAGGGGAATGAAGCATCATAATCCCATATTTAATAACAAGCTCTATTAACAGAGAGTGTAACAATTTTTAGGGATAAATTCTCCAAACACTAAGCTTAACCATTTCACAAAAAGACGTATAGTCCATAATAATATTATAAATGCGAAAGTAACTCTGTCTTTCTGTCTGTCTGTTACCTTTTCACGCTTATTTCGCTGAACTGATTTAAATGGTATGGAGATAGTTTGAGACCCTGGAAAGGACATAATAATAAAAAAATCATCCCTTAAAGGGGTGAAAATGGGAGTGGAAGTTGGTATGAGAAATCAACCATTTGTCAAGTAAGGAATATCAAACTCATCATACCTATGAATATATAGTTTATCTATTCCATGCTAAGTATGAAAACGTACTTTATCAATAAAAAAATCAACTACTTTATAAATTTATTTCTCACCAATGATCATCAGCATCTATACACATAACTGTACTTTCAACCAACTTGATAATAGATTTTTCATCTGATATAATAAAATTATTATCTTTATCAAACGCTAATCCATGAATATTTTTCATTTCCAAAACTTTTGTAAGACCGTCCTCATTAACTAAAAACATACCTAAATTAGAACATATGTATACATTTCCATTGTTATCTTTTACAATTTGTCGCACTGTGATCAAATAATTGATAGCCTCAAAGTACTTATTATATTTATATAATCCAGTTTTATTAGCAAAATAAACATTATCATTATTGATATGAAAATGATCTATTTCAATATCACTAAACTCTCTCACTACAGTGAATTTACCATCCACTTCCATATATAGTTTTTGATCTGGATAGCTTATATAGAATAAATTTCTCTTAAAATAAAGTTCCCAAATATTGACACCACGTTCTTTGTGAAAGTCAGCTATTTTCGTAAACATGTTATATTTGTATATGCCATCACTTCCCCCTAAGTAAATTTCATCGTTAGCCTGATCTATCGCAATAGTGCAGCCTCCTGTTATTCCGACGATGGTCGAGTACTCTTTACTATTCAAGTTATAGTATGCCAACTGAAAGTCCACATCTGAGTAGGTTTCTGGTGTGGTGAAACTGAAGAATAGCGTATTAGATCCGTTGTGAACATTCAAATTGTATGGCTTGCCGAGGCCTGACCAGAGAGAACTTCTCTCATACCATTTATTCCCAATTTTTAATCGATTACATGCTTTATCTGGTAAATTCTGCACTTGATATATTGTCACTATTATATAAAATAGCAGCGCCGTATCTGTAAATTTTATTCCTTTATAGTTTTTATGCAAAATTTAAATGAATTCTTAATGGACGTAAAATATTTCACATTTACGCTGTAAAGTCTGATTTATAATACAAGAAAACGAAATACGCCATACTGTAACACTAGGAATGCTATTATAACAGATTTTAAAAATAATATTTTAGCTTGACTTATGAATGTTGAATATCTTTTTAGCATAAAAATGGTATTGTACTATACAATAAATAAATGTATAATTTATACTTTAGACATTTTTAAAGCACTTGAGTAGAAGTATGACACCTAAATCTGGTTGAGAGTTTTCAATACATTCTAGGGCCAAGAAAGAATTATGATTGTAAAAATATTTAAAAGAAAGCTAGAAATATATGGCATTCAACGACACTTTTGTATTTGAAAAGTAAAATGTCAGTTTGTTCAATCGTAACTGAATATATCATACAAAGCAAATCAATTCAAGTCAGATAGTACGAAAACTTAGAATTTGGCAAGGACACCAAAACATGTGGCGAACGGCCAATATTTTATTTGTTACAAAATAAATATTTCATTGAAGCTTTCGATTGCTATTTATTACAGCTTCTTTATAACTAACAAGTTGTAAGGAATAATACTATTACACTTTTCATACACTTTTACTCACTATTGTCTAAATCTGAAATTTCTTATCACATCTAAATAAATATTAAAGTTTTTTTATTCAGACTTTACCTACTACAAAAAACTGAATTTAAAAATATGTGATAAAATCAATATTTAAATGTTAAATTAAATCATATTAAAATACAACTCACCTCTAAACATAATATTACGAAATTCAAACTAAATAAAATACTATATTAATTAGTGCTCAATAGAATAATGAAATTCTGACTGATTCACTTTCGCTTCATAATAAGATTACCATTTGTAAAACAAGGCATTGTTTGACCAATTATATAGATGCTAAGTTGTGTCTACGGTTTTGCTTGTACAAATCAACATTTATTGCTTGAACTAAAATATTCTAAGTCCATACATAGCACTTCGTTAATCTATTGTTCTGAAGTTTCATGTATATTTTTATACCTTACTTAGCCTTTAAAAAGGTTTTTCTCATGCTTTCTAAGTCAGTCAGTAAGTACTGACTTCCTTGAAAGGAAGGAACTGCTTAATCTGTACATATTATAAAATTCTAACTAAGTCGAATCTGTGCATTAAATATTTTTTGGAAAATCTAATTGAAATAGACATTATTATCGATACAGAGTCCGAATCTATAGTTTTTAGAATTTGTGTCTGTCTGTTTGTTTGTCTGTCTGTCTGTTACCGCATCACGAGAAAACCACTGAACAGATTTTGATGAAATTTAATATGATGATAGCTGGTTATCCGGGTCAACATATAGGATACTTTTTACCGCGGTAAAATATCTCATTTCTGAGAAAAAATACAAAAACTGCATTGTAAGAGTATACTAATATGTAAAACCTAAGAATTTGGTTTTTGGTTATCTGAACGCGGGCGGAGCCGCAGGTAATGCTAGTAAATTATATATTAACTTATTTACGAGTTGATGGATGTGCATGAGCAAGTCTAAAATTTTAGAGTGTCACTTCTAATCATCTTTACCAATACTTTTATGCTTTTTAAAATAATTATTATTAAACATTGAAATTCCGAACTTAAACTTCTTACATTAATTATTCATATTTTTTTTTTTTATAACTTAAATGAGAAACTTATTTCAAGAAATTGTTTAATGTTTACCTTAATTATCATTAATAGCTAGTACAAATATTCTATGAATATTTATACTGGTGACAGCATTTAGTTATTTTAGTTAAGTAAAATTCTTACATAACTATATTGAAATTGAATCAACATCTAAAACTAATCACATAATTGGACTTAGAATTAGTGGAATAATTGCAAATTGCTTAATAGTTCGTACAATATATTGTAGAATGGATTAAAAACATTCATTTAAAAAATATAATTTTTTAGGATTTCTTTAGCAGAGGGACTGAAGTTACCAGAACAACTTGCACTATTATTACTTTGGATAAGTCTATAAATAGCATTCCTATCAGAGTACATCACGTAATCATTTTCATCAAACGCTATACCAAAAACGTCAATATGGGCTACCTTTTTAACGCTAAAATAAGGTTTGTTCTCCACATAAATACCGTTTCCAGAAAAATATATATCACCGTAACTATCTTCTACAATTTGTCTTACTGTGATATCATCACTCAGTACAATAGTATTCTTACTATTCTTCTCAACTTTGTAAAGAGCTGTTTTATTAGCGAAATATATATTATTATGTTTTGATACAAAGAAATTGTCCACTTCAATATTCACAGCTTCTGCCACTTGGACGAATTTTTCGTTGACTAAAACGTATAGCTTTTGTGTCGGGTACTCAATGTAGTAGAAATTCTTTCTTACAAACAATCCCCATATAGATTTGCCCTCTTCAGCGAAGAATTCAGCTGATTTATTCAAAAAATTATATTTATAAATCCCATCATGTCCACCAAAATATACATCGTCGTTGCCAGGATCGTATGCGATAGCATATCCTCCTGGAATTCCTTCGACTTTCTGAATCTCTTTCTTACTCATATCGTATGACATTATTTCGAAGTCCACTTCAGTGCCATTATGTATCGTATGACTGAAGAATAGAGTGTTGGAGAATTTGTGTAGAACTAAATTGTAGGGTCTGTCAAGATTTACAATTAATAATTCCCTGTCAAAATAAACATGGTCGAATATAACACCGTTACAAGAGATCACGTCCTTTTTAGCGCTATGTTCCGACACAGTGGATAAGAGGAGAAAAAATAATAACATTTTATTGCGTTTAATTTTGTTTGGTATCTGCAGCTTGGGACCGGGGAATATTTCGTTAAAATTTCTGTTTTTATTTGACGTTACAAAATTACAATGTTGAGAGGAATTTAGTATCGTCTGTTTTACTGTCTGCACCTTTTAGTGTCTGAATCTTGATACAGTTATCTGAAAGTTAAATTATGTTTGTCGTTACACTGTTTAAAGTTGTTTTGAATAAAACTATCTTTTTGGATTTTTTCTCGGATTTATTACGATTTTTGATTCCCGATGTTTCGAATGCTTTACAGCAATCATGGTCACGGGGAACCAAAAATCAAAATAAATCCACGAAAAAAACTTGAAAAAATAATTGTATTTAAAATGTCAAATATTTAGGTACACCTAAAGTATTATGTTTAAAGTTGAGTAAAAATGCATATAAGTGCCAGTCTATTATTAGTACATATAATAATTCTAATGTGTTCAATTTATTTTAATACACTGTACTCTTTAAATTTTAAATTTGATAATTTTTTCTGCATTTTTGGCTTAATTTAATAGGAATATTTTACTCTATTTTACAGTAATTTGCTGTGTACTTATTATAAGCCGATACAAAAAAGAAGTCAAAGATATGCATTCGATTAATAACCTTACCCTAACACAAAAGTTACTTAAAAACTCTAAATTACTACTAAAAAATTCTTTGACGTCAATCTCCATACAAAAAGGGCGGACGAGTGATCAGTTGAAGTTAATTATAAAGGAAAATCTAAGAGAAATATGAGAATTGGAAGAGTTTAATAAAGTGGAATGAAGTGATGGTTCGAGTAAAATATTGGTGGAAAGTAGTACCTATATTGAATCAAGCCTAAACTGTGCGTTTAAACAACGTTTAACACAATCCCTTTGACTTGACCTGGAACTCGAACCTAAAACCTCAATCTACAGATAATAAGTAAAAGAATAAGATTTTTATACTTTACAACCACAAAAAAAAAATTTTTTCATTTATTCACAAATAATAACCAATAAACGTAGCACACATCTTATAATATTAGATTTTTCTTATAAAAGTTACGCTTAATATTAACGACAGTAAGTATTATGTCAAAATAACGACAAATAGGTACTCGTACACTTATGTAACAAAAATATCGAACACTACTGAGATATAATTAAACCAATAAATATAAACAAATTCCAACGTAATATTTGAAAACTCAGACAAAAAGGTGTTTGTGTTGATATAAAAATATAAACAATTACGTTAAACTAAGAACTTCCTACAGTTTTGTCTGGGTAGTGTTAATAAAATAATTATTATATTGACGACACGTTTGGCTCAGTTCATAGTGACCCTTCTTGCTGTGCCAGCGGTCGCGGGTTCGAGTCTCACTGGGCGTTCATTTGTGTGATGAGCACGAATGTTTGTATTCCAGTCATGGGTGTTTATTATTATTATTTATAATATTTTATATTATATTGTGTAGTGTATCAACTATCTGGTATCCATAACACAAGCCTCCTAGCTTACCATGGAACTAGATGGTGATGTGTGTTAATGTTCCAAAATATTTATTTATTATAGCTTTAAAAATACTACCTGAATGTAGGAATACCTAATTACATCCTTCAAAATACAGCAGATTCGATAGTAATTTTACAGGTAGCAAGAATAATCTAAAAAAAAATTCACATTTCATGTTTTCTGCGTAAATGACTGCTTTTTCCTTTATGTAAGAAATCTTTAAAGATAAAGTGTTTCAAATCGCCCCAGGACTCTCACTTTATGATTTTTATCAAATAATTGGCTTACAACATCAAATCTCGACAACATTTAGTTGTTAAAACACACATCAAGTTCTTGCTTCGTTGATATTTTTTATTCTTCATGATATTTTACGCAACAAAAATTTTGAACGTTACGTAAAATACTTAAAAAATAAAAATATAATTACTAATATACAAACAAACACGTCTTATACTTTTGTTATACGCAAAAGTGTTTGAAATGATTTAATATAATTCTCAAATAATAAACAATATGAGATATTGTTTTGACTCAACACTTTCTGTACGACCCCGAAAAGATTGCTACAGAAGTGTAATTAGTTAATTATAACATTTATTATATTAAAGTATTTATTGTAAAGTACTTATTAAAATGTAAAAAATGCTTTCTTATTGGACATTTTCTTCGGATTTTTCCCAAACCGCTTCCTGTGACTGAGTTTCCTGAAAATTCGTAATGTGAAAAACAAAAAGTCAAATTAAAAATGCCGAAAAAATCCTAAAAAAAATAGCTTTTCGTACAAAAATATAATACAAAGCTAAAATACTTAGTTTTTTGTCTCAAAAAATGTAATAATAACTAGCTAGTACCTGTAGAATAGAAATTTGACTTGACACATCCACGATACCTTTAAAGTTAAAACAAAGAGAAGTAAAGATGGATGCGGGCTAATTCCAATTTCGATAGTAAAATTTACGAACTATTGATACGATAGAACGACTACGATAAAAATACTAATACAAAATCAAACCCACGACCTTTGACACAAACAGATCTTCTAAGACATTACATATATTAAATGCTATATTTTATCTATTTATACCTATTAAAGCTACATAATGAGTTTAAACCCTTTTAATGACTGTTCGTTGACGGAGAGTTATCATTCACGTAATCGTATTTAACTAATTAAGCCGTACATTAATACGTTTAAACTTTAAACGATGCGAGAAAATATTGCAAACGAAAATAGAGAAACTTTGCAAATGTTTCAAAATTGTATGAATTTATGTACATATGTACTTAGAAACAAGGTTGGCGAATCGTTGTTTAATTTATGATTCTAATTAAAAATCAAAGCTTCGCGTAGTTTCCAAGTCAACAAAAAATCCATGCGAGCTTGCGATATATTTTTATGTTACGAATAAGCATGGTTTGTTTTTTATTAACGAATAGATAATATTTAAACACACCCACGCCCGCACAAAAATACACATACACATACACACACCCACGCACACAAACACACGCACGCACACATGCACGCACGCACGCACATATGATAATGAAATTATACACAGAGTATACAAAGTAGATACAATATAAAGACACAAAAGATTAAACATAGAATAGAATGATTGAGTTTTGTATTTTCCACACGTTATAAATGTATTCAGCCCTTTTTAACGTCCCACTGCTGGGCACGGGCCTCCCTTCAGCACGAGTGGGATCAGGCCATAGTCCACCACGCTGGCCAAGTGCGGGTTGGCGGACTTCACATGTCTTTTGAAAACTTGCTAGGTTCTCTCAGACATGCAGGTTTAATCACGATGTTTTCGTTCACCGCTTAAATAAGTGGTAATCATGTTGGATATGATTCTCACATGAAAATATCAGAGGTGCGAGACCCGGGATTTGAACCCGCTTCACTCGGTTTCCCAAGCGAGCGTGTTACCACTGGGCTACCACTGCCTCGTTATAAAAGCAGCTAAAATATAAAATCATAAGGCATATCTTAATCAAAATTCTGAACGCTGCAGTAACCGTTGTGAATATCACAAGCACCGCAACATCACATTAGATTACATATTAATTACCCCACTACAAACGCTTTCATAAAATGAATGCACGCGCTAAACGAATTATTCTATTAATAAGAAATACGTGGAATTTATGTTCTCATATTTTCAGCGCTCGGAGATTTGTTTACAGTTTTCTTTTTTGTTTGAAACTTTCATACTTTAGTATTGTAGATTCGCGTATATTAATACATATACATACTAATATTATAAATGTTTGTTTGTTCTTCTTTCACGTTGAAACAGAGTGATGGATTGGCGTGATTTGTGTCTAAGTGTTGTATGGAGATAGTTGGACAGCTGGAGAGTGACATAGGCTACTTTTCATCGGGAGTTTATCTCATTCCCACGAGAAAACTCGTCATAATACTCACAACAACTCATCATAACTGTGTAATACTCGTATATATTTTATCTATTGCATACTAACCGTTAAAACGTCTGTAATTCTTGGCGTATTTGACAATTATCAATTATCTTAGTAATTATATTTAATAATACTTACTCATAGTATTAAATAGACAATATTTTAGCATATAGCATTTAGCATTTCATTTGTGTATTCCTAAATAGTATAAAAAAAATTAAAATTAAGATAAAATAGCAATAAGAACTGTGTATAAGATAAGAAGTGTGCCTCGGTGGTGTAGTGACTAGCATGTACGGCTGCACACTCGGAGGTCCTGAGTTCGAGTCCCGGGTCGGGCCAAGTTTAGTTATTGAGTCTTTCTGTATAGTAAGTCTCAGAAACAGCCCGGAGTTGGGAAGTTGGCGGTGTTTCACCCCCGTGCCTCGGAGAGCACGTAAAGTCGTCGGTCCTGCGCCTTAACTCTCACTGGTCGTGTCGAGCAGTCGCCCCACCAGAGTATGAGAGTGACAGGAATAGAGAGTGCACTTGTGTCTGCGCGTACACTTGAGCACTATAATATCTCCTGCGCAGTTGGCTAGTCTCAATGAGGTTGGCCGCCGTGGCCGGAATCGGTCAGGAGAACATCAATCAATAAGATAATAGACGAAACCAAATGGAAATAAACTCCAGTAATTTGAAATGTAATAAAATTGTAATAAAACAAGGCTCCATCCCAAATGTAAATCAAGTAACAGATAACTAAAATTGTAAACAAACCACCCATACCTATAATATCATATCATTGTAAACAAAACCATTGTAAACAAGGTCTCTGATTATGTCAGAGGTATTAGAATCGCAAAAAAAAACCGTTAAAACGTACCTAGGGACGAACCCGAACGAAGCGAGCGTGAGCCGCTAGTTTTATAATTATAAATGAGCAATTCTTGTATAATATACATACACATATGTATATACATATTGTATACATTTATTTCGTGTACCTTGAAAATTTTGTATGAAATTATCAAATTTATTTATTGTATATTGTATATTTATTTATTGTATATCTTGTATT